TTGAAATTGTATTATGTTTTTTTGTATTATTATATATTTACTTGACAATATTCTTTTTATTAGAAGTTGTTATTTAGGATTCTGTTTGCAATCAATTAATTAATGAAACATCAAACTTAATTCATAATGGCGACAAGAGTTTGTTGTTTACAATGATCTAAATCAGATTTCTTTTTGTACCATTTTGACTTTGTGTAGTGTTTCTTTTAAGAATTAAATAAATTTGTTAAGAGAAAAGAAATCATATCCACCTGTTATCGCGGATAACAGGTGGATACGATTAATATCTATTAAGTTAATTAAATATTTATTTTAGATACAATTATTAATTGTTTTTCGTCAACTGTAAATTTTCCTTTTTTTATATGTATATAAAAATATGTGTATATATATGTGTATATATATATGTGTATATATATGTGTATATATATATATATATATATATATATATATATATATATATATATATATATATATATATATATATATATATATATATATATATATATATATATATATATATACATACACACACGAGGCTTATTTAAATTTTTTTAATTTAACTTAGTTTCATATTTTCATACACTTTTATTTTGAAATTTTAGATTATAATAGCTTTGAAACAATGATAATGAAAATTTTTTCATCGTTCTAAATTTATGGTAAGTTAAATATGCTTTTTTGTTATAAAATATATGTTATTATGTTGTTGAATTACATTAATATTTTTATAAATTACGTTATAGCTACAGTTATTGTCGTAAAAGATTAAGAAAAATCTTATGGGTGCAATTATTCCACTGACACCTGCGAAATTACCAAAAGAACTGACCATCACTGTTTATTGTATTTTTTTAAATGTTCTAGTTAAGCAATCTAACACTTAATTATTTGTTATTTTTATTATTGTTTTATAAATAAGCGTCCTTATTGCTTAGCGACTAGTTAAGTTATATTATAAGGATTATATTTTCAAGAAGATTCTGTGTTTAAGTAAAAATTATTATTTTTACTTAAACTCGTATATTTCTTGAAAAATAAGCCTACTAATATATCTATGAAATCTTTAAAACTCAAATAGTTAAATAAAACCCTAATAAACATATGAATTTAACTAAAAAAACTATTAACTAAAACTAGAAAGTAATACTTGACCGAGAAAAAAAAACCTACTAATCCTGTTAAGTACCTACTAAGTTCCGAGTAAAAACCCTAGTAATACTACTAAGTTTCCTTCTAAAATCTTGCTAATCCTACTAAGTTTCCTACTAAAACCTGCTAATCCTACTAAGCTTCCTACTAAAACCTGCCAATCCTACTAAGTTCCTAGTAAGTACTCGGCGGGAACTTACTAAGTTTTAGAAGGTAACTTATTAGGAACTTAACAGGATTAGCGGGTTTTTTTTTCTCGGGTAATCTAACGTTTATAAGAAAATTTATATCAAAAATATATCTGCTTTTCTTTATTATTTTTATTTTATTTTTTTTTACTGTTAAAAAATTACGTTCGCCATTTGCGAAGACCTACCACAGAGGTCCACGGAAAAAGAAATACAGATATTTTTAACTTCAGGTAAAATCCTGAGATCATTTCTAATTTTAACTTTAGGCAAGCTATTTGATATAGCAAAGTGAAAGTGTGACATATTAATTAATAGTAGACAAGTTCTTGTTCTTGTATTTTTAAAGCTCATATTTCATGTCAATGTAAAAGAAAAAAAAAATTCCTATAACAGAATTTCAGTTTATGAAATCTAGTCGCCGGCGACATAGGTTTCAAAGTGAAGGGGCACAATCGTCAATTTCTAAAAAAAGACCTCTATATCTAGATTTTTTTGGAAAAAAAAGAAAGGTTCTTTAGAAAAAAATTGAGAGGTTGGGGAGGGGGGAGTAGAAAGCACGTTCTTTCCTGAAAACTGAACAAAAGAAGTCACAAAAAGAATATATCTTTTAATCATCAAGATAACGAAATCAAAGTACTATTGATAATATTGAGAATAATAAAAATTATGGTGTTGTTTTTTTTGTTTCCGAACATTTTTCCCAATGTTTTTTTAAACATTTTTCCGAATGTTTTCAGATGTTTCCAAAACATAATTCTCAGTACACGAGCAGACAAGTTTCTGAAAAGTCATTGAGTATGAAAGAAGTTACATTAGCATCGTTATGATATGGTGTATCAAACAGAGCAACTGCTGCAGTTTCAACACTAATACGCGGGCTTTCTTAAAAAGAATCTGACTAACAGTAAAACAGTGAAAGATTAGATGGTTCCGACAGAGGAGGGGGATGGCTAGCTCCTCTTTTTATAAAGACAAATTATACACCTCTAGGTGTATAAATTGCCTTTATGAAAGTGGGTGCATAAAGGCAATTTATACATACTATACTACACTTTTTTATTTCAAAAGGCTTGTTGTTTTCGTGTATTTTTTTTTTAGGTTGGAGTGTGTAATCGGTCTTTTTTCATGACAAAATGGTTACTCTGATGCATTTTGTAATGTGTTAAAATATTTTTTTATACTAATTTCTCTGTTTTTTAAAAAAGCATTTTGACATTTTTTTGTGAAATTTTCATAAAATTTTTTTTTCAGGTTCATGGCAGATGGGGGGGGGGGAGTATACGCCCTCTTCCATCAAAGCAATCTATACACCACTAGTTACTCTTTGTTATAGTGTTGAAATATATTTTTTTGTTTTTTATAATAGATTTAATCATTTTAGTAAAGATTTTAGTAATTAAAAGAATGAAATTTTGATAGGGTGTATTAAACCTTCCCCAAAACCCAACACCCAACTTTAAGATAAACCTGTAATATTTGCTAGTGATGTGAAATAAATAAATAATAACTTGTTGTATATAAATATTACTAATTTTATAAAGAAAACACTATTTTAAAAAAAAAAATTGTCTTTTTGTGAGGTGTAGGTGGCGGATTAGCACCCCCTCTGGATCCCTCCATGCGCCCTAGAAACTGGTTTGAAATTATACCTATTTTTACATCTATCTTTTGATACTAAATTATAGATATTTGAATAAGAATTGTCAAAGTTATAATTTTTTTTAAATTTTTTTTTTACCACAGTTTTATCAAGAAATCCAATAATTGAAAAATTGCTACTAAAAACGTTATATTTTTTTATAGAATTGTCTAATTTTCATCATTTTTTCACCTAATACTAATACTGTATTTGAGGGCTTTCCAATGATATATAGCATTCTAGTATAATTAGTCCACATACCTATTAATATAAATTTTATTTCTCAAACATACTACAAACACTCTAATATGATATATTATATATACTTATAATTTATGAACCAATAATTTTTTATGAATATCTAATCTATAAACAATTTAAATTAATTTACTTTCAATTAATTTACTTTCTATAAAAAATTCTCAAAATTATCTTCCTCTTTTAGCAACCTTAAATTATATATTCTAAATCATTGTTCAGTTAAGTACAGCATAACAAATCACATCACAAACCAATGCATAAAATCATGAAATAATTTATCATTTTTTATTCATAGAATAATTTATTTTTTATATTCACTTTATATCACTAAACTTACTACTAAAACTCATCTTTTACTACTAAAACTCATCTTTATGTCTTTTTATTTTGGAAAAATGTAATTACTGTTCTTAAAATGTTGGGCTTATTGTGGGTCATTATTATTGCTCTTGGTATGATTATATGTAATATAAATATCAATGTTATTTTACTTCTATTCATATCACTATTACTTATTGTTATTGTTTAATATTAAGTTTAATATATATCAATATTATTGTTACTATTATTATTGTTATTATTATATTAATATAAATATAATTGTTAACATTAGTTACCTCGTTATAATTGTTTTAATATTGTTATTGCTATTATTATGCAATTGGTTTTTACTTAAGATTAGTATTAGTACTATTTCTAAATATCCATGTTTATGTTGCATACATACACATATATGACATATGTGTGTGTTTTCTTTTAAGCAATTGCAAGTTTCCAAATACATGCAAAGTAAAGTAAGTAAAGAAAACAATACTTTTCAATTAGTAAATTTAGTATTATTAATTAATTTTAATTTTTTACATTTTTTATCCTTATTTTTATAACATGGTCAATTAAAATGCACTAGAACTTTGTTCTGGTGCATTTTAATTGAACTAAGTAAAGAATTTTAATTTATTAACCTGGGTAAATAAATTTCCAATTGAGAGAGTTGATAGAGTTGCAGCATTTTTAGAGAAATATCAATGTGCCCCTAATGTGCTATTGGTAAAATTTTTTTTTTTTTCATTTGTGATTTCATATATTTTTTGGATAAAATGAAATAGTGTTTGAAAATCATCCTTTTTTAAATGAGAAGGTATTTTTAAAACTGCTATTTCCTCTAATGGGTTGTTCTATAAGTTTTCTCTGCTTTTTAAAGTTGTATGCTTTTTTTATTTTTATTATTTAGTTCAGACTGTTGGCGACATGGCTCATGTATTAAAGTCTTCTGTCACAGTTGACTCAGCAAGAATGAAGACATTGATACACTTTTGCATTATGGAATACACAAGTTGGCAGTTCCTCGCCCACTGCCACCCAAATACAGGTAGGTATGCATGCATACACAACCCTCAAAATTAGTAAAACTAAAATGAGTTATAAATTGTCGACATTTAAGATATGAAAAGATATTATTGTTAAATTTTGAGTTTGTAAAATTTATTTTCAGGTATAAGAAATCCTTATCTGTACGTAACAGACGATGGAGACGAAGTGATTATTATGTGTGGCAAAAGATCATTTATGAAGTTTTTCATTTTCTGACTTTGTGATGGAACTTAATGGAGTACACTTTTTTTGGACATAGGAGGAGTATTGCCGCTGCAAGCATGAACAATAATAAAACATTCTAAAGAATAATTTGTTATTTCAACGATTAGATTTGTTGTATAAAATGTATAAATGCTTGTTGAATATTCTTATTATATATCATCCTAATTTCAAAATAACGTTTCATTTTTTCCATAGAAAAAGTACTTTTGTAATATTGTTTTATAGTTCAGGGGAATTATTATTGAAAAAAAAAATAGAATCTTATTTTAAATAAAAATAACATTGAAACAAGTAAAAAATGATTTTCTTTAAGGAATAAAAATTCTTGAAACAAGAAAAAATATTCTTACGTGGCGGACAAGTCATTTTTTTCTTGTTTTAAGACTTTTTTTGCTTAAAACAAGAATCTTTGATTTTGCTGTGTACGTTTTTTTTTTAAATTAGAGTTCATAGTGCGTATTGCAAACTAGGTTTAAATTAGAGTTCAAAGTGCGTATTTCAAACTAGGTTTAAATTAGAGTTCATAGTGCGTATTGCAAACTAGGTTTAAACTGGAGTTATTAGAGTTAATAGAACTTTGATGAACATTTCTATAAATTCCATCAAAACGACTTTTGTTGAATTCTTTTTGAGTATTTATGTGTGGATTCATCCATATCAATTTCCCTCTATAGAAAAACAACATGCCTATTAGAATTATATTTGATGTAGTTGTTAGCAAGCAATAAGCGAGTTTCCTACCGCCTAAGTAAAGATTGCTACTGTTAAGCATGATAATCACGCACAGCATAATGTTTGAGAAAAACAACGAGTAGGCGATGAATTTATTTTTGTTATACATCTCAGGAAGTTTTCGCCCTTTAAAACATTGAAGTCCGCAAAAAAACGAATCTAATAATGCAAAACATAAGTGAATTATGGAAAAACTGGTTGAATCGCAGTATTTTTCTACCGTAAACAGTCCCATATCTTTTACATCTTTTACATCTATTTTAAATCTGCTATACTGTGCAAT